AGACAATGATTTACAGCATGCCGACTTAAACACGATAAAGATGCAAGTTTGAGTAGAAAGACGTTCACAGACACCGATAAGATCAATGAAAGCACGAATAAGAGTGAACGGGGAAGGCGGAGCGCATCCCTACTGATCAAAACTGGATAAAAACTTCTACCAAAGCACCTCAAAATACTGTGCAAATATACAGATAAACAGAATAAATCAATGAAAGTATGTCAGTCGGCAAATTTGATAATTTGAGTTAAATAAATTACGATGCGGCATCATTATATAACATGAAGAGCCGCCGAGAACGGGAAGGCACCGCGATGGGTGAGGGAACAATTGGCGAATCATAACCACACAAAACATAACCTAAGTATGACACTTTGTATCCCTGAAATGCGAAATTCAGATACATGGACTAAATATAAGGGATCGCAACAAATCACGCACAATATTGGAGATGAATCTTCTGAATTTCGCATCAGGGCGTACGCGACTTATCCATGCAGACGCGAAGGCGAGATTTCGTGCTTGTTGTTTTTTACGTAGTAATCGATGGTTTTCAGTAAACCCTCGTCGAACGGGGTCGTGCACTGCCAACCCATTGCTTTTTTGATTTTTGAAAAATCGATGTAGTATCGACGATCGTGGTAAGGTCGGTCCGGTACGGGGATGAAGGAGGGGGGCGATTCTTTCCTAAACGGAAAGATTTCATTCACATGCAATAGGACAAATCAGGCATTGTAGAGTTTCAGGATGATCGGTTAAAAATGCCAACAAAGTTCAAGACGTCAAGAGCAGCCCAATTTAAGAAATGTCATCTCAAATTTGCAACTGTCGCAAACTTTCGCTCTTTTGATTGCTTTTGCAGAACATATGGTGTGCAACAGTACCAAGTGTAAAATAAAGCTGCTTACATAACATAGAAACAAACACTTCTCCAGTTCTTCTAACTTGAAAAAGTTGTGAAATACATTAAATCAATGGCTTCGGGCACCTCATGCATTCCATCTTCATGCGACAAAAAAACTTCAAGTTATTTTTGGAAGGGATCAAACAGACTTT